CTGGAGGGCAGGGATGCCATCCAGAGGGACCTGGACAGGCTGGAGAGGTGGGCCCGTGTGAACCTCATGGAGTTCAACAAGGCCAAGTGCAAGGTCCTGCACATGGGTCAGGGCAATCCCAAGCACAAATACAGGCTGGGCAAAGACTGGATTGAAAGCAGCCCTGCAGAGAAAGACTTGGTGGCATTGGTGGATGGAAAACTGACTGTGAGCCAGCAATGTGCACTCGCAGCCCAGAAATCCAGCTGTGTCCTGGGCTGCATCAAGAGAAGTGTGGCCAGCAGGGCGAGGGAGGGGATTCTCCCCCTCTACTCTGCTCTTGTGAGACCCCACCTGCAGTGCTGTGTCCAGCTCTGGGGTCCCCAGCATCAGAAGTACATGGACCTGCTTGAGCAGGTTCAGAGGAGGCCACGAAGATGATCAGGGGGCTGGAGCACCTCTACCATGAGGACAGGATAAGAGAGTTGGGGGTGTTCAGCCTCAAGAAGAGAAGGCTCTGAGGAGACCTTATATCGGCCTTCCAGTACTTAAAGGGGGCTACAGGAAAGATGGGGAAGGACTCTTCATCAGGGAGTGTAGTAACAGAACAAGGTGTAATGGTTTTAAACTGAAAGAGGGTAGATTTAGATGAGATGTAAGAAATAAATTCTTTCCTGTGAGGGTGGTGAGGCGCTGGCCCAGGGTGCCCAGAGCAGCTGTGGCTGCCCCCTCCCTGGCAGGGTTCCAGGCCAGGTTGGACGGGGCTGGGAGCAACCTGGGCTGGGGGAAGGGGGCCCTGCCCGGGGCAGGGGGTTGGAACTAGACGATCTCTAAGGTCCTTTCGAATCCAAACCATTCTATGACTCTATGATTAGCATCACTGATGCCCCAGAATTACACCAGGTGATCGGCTCAAAAGGATATCTTAAAAGTCTATCAACTTCAGCAGTACTTGCTAATTTCCCTAGAAGAGTAAAAAGAAAAATAATTTTTTTTTCCCCTACTCTGTGCACTCGCAACTCCCATTATCTCTTCCTTGATATTTTATATCTCATAGTATTTCTCTCTTTCCAATTGACTAATATGACCCCTAACCAGATGCCTAGGAAACTGTTATTTGCATCTATTCAGAATCCCTACATAGCAGCTTTACAAAGGATCAATTTAATGAGAATATTATCTGCCAATTCAGATATAAAAAATTTGTTTCTGATTTATTTAGATACTTGCCCAAGACAGTGCACACTAGTATCTATATGCAAAAAACCACATATAGTTTTAAATTTACTTCAGGAAATGGGCTTTCTATCTGCTACTTTCTCAGGTTTTAGTAGTAAATTATGAAACAAAAGGGCACAAGAACCATAACAAAACTATTGCAATATGTTCTATTTATAAATTTAAAATATTCTAATGCTGAAAATGTGAATTAAGGAAGTATCTCCTAGCACAATTTTCCACCTGCTCTCATAAAGAAAACTATGTCCTATGATGGTAAGTATCACAGCAAGGTATATAATTAAGAGGGACTATAACAACAACATATAAATTAGATAATTATGGATTAAGAAATCCCTTGAGGGATTCTCTCTTGCCCTAGAAAACTTATAACAAGCTCCTGAGATAGAAGGCAATAGCTATTAAGTATCTGAGGGAGAAATAGGAATATAAAGAAAAAAAAAAGCAGACAAGCAAACCCACACAGCAAGAGAAAAATTTTAATTTACAGTCGAAAGATGGCTCTCATTTTTGGTAGTTTAATTTAATACATTTACTGGTACGGTTTTCACCCATTAAATATGCTGACATCTGTCGGCTAAAGAACACATCAGATTATCAAGAAGTTCAATATCAAATAAACATGAGCTGCTTCTTAAGGTGACAGTAGGGAGACACAAAACACTGCAGCTATTACCAGAAATGTAATTTTTTGTTGTTGTTATTTCTTATATCAATTTAATAATCCTAGGTGTCCCAGACACCAGTCATACAATAATCTTCATAAATCCTAATTCACAGTCATACCATCTGTCAAAAATATTTTTTATGTCTCCTAATAGATTTGCTACATAATTGCTCTCACAGTAGGACAAAAATACATGGTTGCACTAATTTGCTTTACCAATGGAATAGCTCATTATCAGAAATAACCCAACTACATTACTAGGGTTTCTAGCACTTTTCATATATTAAAACTAACATTTCCATTCTGTTATTTTCTATAACGTTAACTTCCCAGTAAAAGCAGATAAAGATTGAATTATCTGGAAATTGTACCATAATAATGGAAAACTCACGAGCATGAAAAAATAAAACCGTAATATCTCTATTATCATGATGTTGCAGTTAAAATTAGAAGCTTTGTATTTCACAGTCACAAAGAGATTAATTTAAGTTATCAGCCCTGCAGAGTGCTAAGTATTTTGGCCCCAATCCAGAAAAGCACTTAAATGTGCATATGACTTTTAGTTCATGAGCCTAAAACAACTTCAGTGGGATCGTACATGCTTGATTAGGCCCAGAGCACTCATTACCCTGCCAGACAACACATCTCCCAAAGACTGACTCAGCATCAGGAGATGACCCTCCCAAACCTTCATCCGCACTTGTGGAGATGGAGAGGATACCCCACATGGGACCGGTCAAAGCAGAAGCTTTTTCTTTCCACTCTCTGCAGCAGAAAATGAAATGTTTGGACTGAAGTTGGCCTTTGAGAGCACCTTTCCTCCAACAAGTTTCTAAATATCTGCAGTTCTTCTAACATGCATGCAATATCAAAACCTCTTCAAATAATGCAGACCGCAGGTATGGCAGTGGTTAAAAGAGGTTCTGTTACATGTTGCTAGTTGCAGCAATATGATCTTTGTGTAAGCTTTTATTTGTGCATTGGTTTAAATAATTTATGCAAGATTATATAAAAATATGTACTGGAGAATTCAGTAATTGTACAGCAAACAACTCCAGCAGCACCTAAGTAAATGGGAAATTCCAAAGATGATGACAGTTACCAAAAACTATTCCCGAAGATACTTTCTTCAAAATATCAGACTCAAGCTCATTTCGCTTTTGAATAAGTGACCCATGAACAAAGCATTACTTCATTCCTTAAATCACCTTTCTAAAAGCACTTTCCATGTTTCACAAAGTTTACATCTAATAAATGGGAAGATATTTTATATTTTAAAATAAAAGCAAGCTTCCAGCAATTGAAAGATGCAGTTGAAGAACTAAACGCTCTTCTGTTCAACTCTGAATGACAAATATGTAATACTACTTTGCAGTTTAGCAATTTTTTTTAACATACTGTACTATTTTGATGAAGTATTCTTGTTTTAATGCTAACAAGTTTATTATTTCAGTTAAAGTTCTATGTCTCCATGACATATTGAATATGTAATACAATGCTTTTCCAGTGTCACTAAAATGGTAGAGTTCTCCACAAGTTTATAAAAATATACTCACCACCGCAAATAGGGATATTGCTTTCCTAATGGCCAGAATTATCCATTTAATTTCCATGATCCTCAGTTACTCTATTTAATTTGAGAAAACTGAGAATTCCTTCGAGTAAATGTGAAGTCCAAATACCAAAATTTAGAGTGGAATTAGTAACTTAGATACTACCAAATGCTGTATCTTAATTTAAATGATGTCATAAACCAGTTCATACAAGTATTTTTGCGACATGTCTTTTAATAGAAAGGTTAAAATAAATCTGTGTATTTTCACTGTAATATCTGTTATTTTGAAAACTTTGCTTATTTCTTCTAACTTATAAACACTTAAAATCTACACAAGTTCCTATTTTACCAAAATTCTGCAGAGTTGAACAAACCACTGACGCTACAGTAACTGGTAGCTCACAATACCTAGCGAGAACATCACATTAAGGGGAATTATGTCTGTGCAGTAGGTAACAACATCATTCCGTTATACTGCCTCAAAACTGCAGGACTTCAGTCGCAAAACACCCTGGCTCAGATGTGCATGGATCCAGAAGTCAGACTAAAATTTTGCAATTAATTGTAACTAATTCATACTTCCACATTATCAGAAGGCAAAACATTCATTACTTTATGATGAATTAAAGATTTCTGTATCAGAGTTTTTCATTTGAAATTTAGAAAGGAGACTACAGATTACACACACATGTTGACTACTTTTAAAGATGCAACATTATCACACACACCTCTGATAAAGCAAGGGACTTAGCAGTAATAAATATTAAAATGGCACTGAGAAGAGAGAGACAGAGACATGGTTCCAAGGCTAGATATGAGAAAGACAGAAAGTATAGGTTAAAGAAAAAAAACAAGCAAAACACCACAAAACCACAAGAAGTCCAAGCAAAATCTCTCAGAGTAAATATCTAAAACTTCCATTTCCATACGGCAATGGAAAACAGGCTCATACTTATTGCAAAAATGTTTTCAGAGGAGGCAGAGAAGAAAATACATGTACATCATCTGTAGAAATATTCCAAAAAGCCCTCTTTGGTATACATGGATTAAATATTAAATAAACCACATGAAGTAAAAGAAGTCCAGATTTAGAGCCACATAGTACTGAAACAGAAAGCAAACACACAATAAAGACAGTCTACTATACTCACACATTTACAACATGCTACTTATAATGGTAGCCGTGGAAATAAATGATATGTAAATGTTTGACATTTTCCATCACCACTCATCAGGCTAATGCTTCTATGAAATTTATTAACATTTTAGCTACAGTTTCATGCTTGCATATTTCAAGTATAAAAATAAGATACTCAGCAATACCACACAGCTCAGCCCTCTTATTATTTCTTTTACAAATTTGTATCAGTGGCCTTGATAATATTGCCATCTAATTACTAGCAGTGCTTCTTTTATGATAGATGACAAGACAAGCTGAGTGGCCACTCAGTCTATGGAGGATGTGAATATGCTGAAACCTTCTCCTGCAGGCCATTCATGCTTCTTAAATGAGCTGCTATGGAATTTTCATCATGTGTGCATAAGGAAATAGTCTCCTACCTGTGGGGGTTGGTTGTACATTGGTCTGGTCTCTGGAAATGAAGTTTTATCCTTTGACTCTCTACTTTGATCATCAATTGTGTCACCTAGCAAAGTAAGAAAAAAAAAATCTTAATCACTGAAATCCTTCATATTTTATATAGAATAAGAAAAAAATATTGAGTCTTCCTGAAATCAAATTATACAATTCCCTGGGAAAGGGAGAAGTCTGTTGCTACATTTATATTTTACAAATTTGAACACAAAGAAAAGAGAACAACATTGAGAAGTGGTCTGCAAAAGCCTGTGTCAATTAGTTAAAAGGAAAAAATCAGAGGGAAAAAAAAAAAAAAAAGAGAAAAAAAAAAAACAAGGCCCCTATTTTTGCACACTTTAGGACCATCAAGTTCCAATACTGGCTAAGTGTCAAACAAAGGAGACAGCAAGACGAGCATCTGGTGCGAAGGCGATACCAGATACACACATCCATCACATCCCAATCCCATGTCAGGCTAGGAGGACACGTGCACTGTTACTCTGTCCTCATTTGTAACCTCGTTTCCATACAGAGGATATCTCTGCAGGGGTGCTGAAAGAGAGATGTAGCATACTGAGAGAAATTGCCTGGTTTTGACTGTACCAGGACAATGACTACTTGGCAGGCTGGGCATCCTCCCATTGCATAGGTGTAGCTGCCTCTGCCCAGGATTTTACTGAGGAGACACGATTCGGTTTATCCCAAAAGCTGCAGCTGGTACCAATCTAAAATGGGCAGATCACAGCAATAAACTAGAGACAAGAGTATTTTATTTTAAAGACTCTGCCTTTTTAAAGACAGAGGTACTTTATTAAAGGTACATTAATAATTTTATTAAAAAGGTAGAGGTAGTAAAACAAAAACCCCAGCATTTGTTTCTCAGATATTGTAAAAACAAATATCCACCTAGCCCATCTTCTCCAATCTTTGTCGGTGGAAGGGTGTACAAGAAGTTGTAAAGATTTTGTGGATTATCTCCTTCTGCTGTCAGTGCTACTCAGTAAACAGTTTGTAAGAGGGCACAATTTAGAAAACATAATTTAGCCACATAATTCTGGATTTATTTTTATTTGAACTGATACTACTTTCTGTAATGGAGTATTTTGGAAGTCTGTATCCTTAAAGAGTCCTGCAGCAACAATTCTAAATGAAAGAGTTCACGTTACTGTAGTTCAACCCCTTTGCTAAGCCTGTGGTTCTGGCTGTCCTGTTCCATTTTCTCCAGAGATTTAGTTAGAGCAGGCACACCTGGAAGAAGACATGGGAACAGCAGCCAGCTTCTGCCAGTGCCCAGTTAGCTTGGAAGCCCATGACACCCAGGTCCGTGCATGCCTGCTCCACATTGTCATTGGCACCCAAGGACTGACTGGTCAGGTCCCCTGCGTATAATGCAATGTTTGGCAAAGTACCTCATGAAAACAAACAGTAATATTTAGTCATTGGGCATGCTTTTTAATATGCAAGTATTATTCCTAACAGTGTATTTTGAGAATCAGCAATAAATTATCTTTGTTATAGGTCATTAATGCCTATTAATTCCATTAATGTCTGCACTTTTCAAGATCTTTTCTGGGGTTGAAAAATGTTTCTCAGTAAACTAGTAAGTCTCTACACAGAATACTTCAAAGCACTTGTATTCACACCAGCTCTTAAAAAAAAAAAAGCAGTGGAGTTGGGGAGAGACCAAAGGAGTTGGGGGGTCAGTTAATCTTCAGTTTCACCCCACAAAACTGTGAAAAACAGAATTTATAATCATCTATAAGATAATGAGGTAACAGCCATGAAAATAAATTGTCAAACCATTAGTTTACATTTGTAGTGTAGTAATGAAGTAAAAAAGCCTGCAAAGAAAACTTGGGGAGGCATGAAAATGGTTAACAGATATATGAAGAGGACAGTAAAACATAATTTTGGTATGTCTGATGTGGATGAGAGTGCAAACAAGTTTAAATTGTACCAAATTTAGGCTAGAACAGTTTCTCCAGGAGTGCCTTACTTAAGCACTTGAAACAACCTAAGGAAATAGTCTCTCTAAACAGTGGGCCATCTCCAAAAGATTTCAGAGGTAGGTTGAAGAAACATCTGCCATAAATAGTTTCAATCCTGCCAAGACAAGGAAGATTAATGACCTTTTGTGTTCCCCTCTAGTCCTACATTCCATGAAGGATAAGGAGGAAAGACTCCACAGGATACCCCTCCCTAAAACCAGGATTTGTCAAGGGATCTTATTCTGTCTTCATGGAGACTTGCTAACATGTAAGTAGACTGCAGCGAGCTCGACAAAGACCCATCAAGTGTGTAAGGGAAGAGCTGCATAGCCAGTCAGTAGCAAAGGAACAGCTAATAGAAGTCAGTGAGATGACTCACATTGGCTAAAGTTGGGTGTATGCATAATCATACTGAAAGAGAGTTACACCAGAGATTTAAGAAACACAGGAACTAACATTTTACTCCTTGTCTTTACATACTGTTCCTGAGAAAGCACTGGAAAGTTTTTATATGCAAAAAAACAAAAGACCAAATTCACGTGTGTTAATGCTATCCAGAATACACTTTTTCCCTGTGATTAGTTTTCCTTAAGATGAAAAGAAATCTTTGTTTGAAATCAAGACCAACAGGTTAAAAATGTAAAAATGTTCACAGGAAAGGAAGAATAAGAACGGCTCATTTGGAGAGAAATTAAATTTTTTGACTTAGAACTTTGACATCCAACTCCCACAGGTCATAAGTTCTTAAGGAGGCTAACATGTAGCAAAACTGAAAGTGTTTCAAAATTCAAATTGTCTTTGTAAACTGAAGTTTAATGCAGAGCTCTTTTTTTGCTAAAAAAACAAGCAAACAAACAAACAAACAAACAAACAAAAACAACAACCAAAAAAAAAAAACCACCAAACCAAACCAAATAGAACAGAAGAAAATAGCAAAACCCCAACATCTCACCAAATTTCAGGAATGTGGTCCTGCAAGGATAAGCCATGAATCTCCCTATAAACTCTTATTATTTGAGTTAATGGAGTCAGAACAGTTATAGCGAGCTGCACACCAAGCTGCCCAAGATGTCCACTAGGACAGAATAGTTTTCCAGAGAAATCAGTATTTTCGTTGTACTTCTTTCACAGGTTTCTATCTAAAATATCCAAACAGATTATTCATCCTTATTTCTACTAGCCCAAACAATGAATTAACTCTCACATACCTCCCCAGCTCCACCAGTTCCCAACCTTATCAGCTTGCCATAGCTGACCCATCTAGTTTAGCCACCCCCAAATTTTTTTTCTTCAGCTTGCCATTATTTCCCATTGACCTAAATTCTAATCTCTTGCCCTAACTGGAAGTCATAGTTTTTCCTCCCTCTTCAGGCTCTGCCTTTCAAATGCTTCCCTCTGGTCTGGCCTTTCCTCTTCTCCACTGTAACCCTGCAACCTCCTCTTCCCACCTACCTACATGTTAGGAAGGTGGATGAAGGTAAACACTGAATAGACAAACATCCCATGAGGGCACAGACCTTTGGGAGCAGGAACTCATGTGGGTTCTTTTGAGCACTTTATACATTCTCGTTGATAATTTTTGACTGGGGAAAAAAAAATAAAAAACTACCACCAAACCATCCTCTCCCCCCAAAACAACCTGAAATAAACCCCAAACCCAAACAATTTCCCTTACACAATCTTGATGTAAATAGGTATATAATTACAATTTTGCCAAACTAAGCAACTGAAATCTTGGTCTGAAAAAATCACAAACACATGACCTTAGTAGGAAGAGCTACCAAATACCCACCACCACTCCCCAAAAAAGTCTTTCATCAGAACTGAACTGCAAATATGTTCATGGGTAAGGCCAAAGGGACCACTGTAATCATCTAGCCTAAACTCCTGTCTAAATATAGGCCATAAGATTTCTTGAATTAATTTGTTTGAACTACAGCAAGTTTAAAGCTGTACTTTAACTAAGAGATAACAGACAAAATGATTCATTTTACAGAACAATTAGATTCTGGCTTGTATATCCCTTGGTCTAAAAGCGTTATTCAAAGTTTTAGTCATAAAACTCCTATAAAAAAAACAAAACTCAGTCATGTATATATAAAAATGTCATATACTATTTAGAGACTAGAATTAGAAATGAAGGGTGGTCCATGCAGTGCAATATGGTTTACACATCAGCAGCATAATCTGTAATATGCAGGACATCACTGGGAAAATTTATCAGGAAAAAAATAATCATGCTTATTGCTTTAAAATATTACCTTACTTATAAATGGAAAAATACTTTCAGGTTTGAAAGGAGAGCAGCAGACATATTTATACTACTGTCCAGATAAACTCTTATTTCAAATCCTCAGTCTTGGCAGGCTGTTTTTAAGTTATATTAAGCCTCTTCCAGGCCCAAATAAATGGCATTGCACTCAAAGGCCAGACATACGTTTCTCCTTTGATTGAGTTGGTGCTGGATATACACCAACATTCTCCAAGTTCCACTGGTATCTTCTTTTTCCAAGAACTGCAGCCAGGTGTTGCACAGAAAAGAAATACCCAATCCAGTCTTCAGTATGTACTATGTATGTCCCCCCCTCTCACCTGAGAATTTTTGGTTTCTTCAGAAATCTGCATTCAGCTGCCTATGTGGACCTCAGCGAACTCTCGTATAAAAAGGTTCAACCACAAGTTTGGCTTCTACTCAACAAGGAAGTGGCGTTTCTATTTATACTCTTTCCTCTCCAGCATTTTGTTATCCTCAAGCTGTGTAGTCTCTTGATCAACAGACAGCATTTAAAAGTCTATCCCATCCTCAGGTTAAAAAATTAAAACCAATTGTAAATATATTTTAGAGTCTTCTATAAATTAGATTGCCATTTGTCCTGGTCTATGCAGGAATCCTGTGAGACAGTGAAACATTTGCAACACAGCAAGCAGTAACTAGCTACCAAAGACACGGATTTTCAAATGTCAACTTCAGCTTCAAAAGGAACACAGCTATTTTCCATTATACTTCAGTTAGTTGCTTAACTCATTGCCTGTCATTATCTTCTTTATCCTGCATAGAAATGGCAAGAACAAAGACTATTCT